CTTTGAGCTCAAGTCTTAGTCCCACGATGGGGCTCTAAGCTGTAAGCCCAACAAAGCCTTTCCTCCCCTAAACTGGTCTGCGGTTCTCGTGGCAGAAAACAGCAAACTAAAACACCTGACCTTTCTGAGTTCCTTCCTGTTGGGGCTGTCAGGAGAAAGTAAGAGGAAGGACACATGAAAAACAGTAAGGAAGTGTCAAAGACTGACTGGGTTTTCATTTCGGCAGCAGCTGTGAAGCAACATCAGGAGGGCTGTGGAAGGCACAGGGCTTACCAGTTTTTGAAACGATTGTTGCAATGTCGTTTACTTTCCTGAAGGCAAAAGATGACAATTACTCTGTGTGTTCATTCATTCATTAAACAAATGTAAGTGGTTTGGTTTTGCTATGAAACAGTCAAGAAACTTATAATTTAGTTAACTGAATGAGGCAAATCAATACGTTTCCTTTTTTCTGTTGAGATGTGTCTTATTGATCCCAAGACAATCGATACAATGCGAGTACCTAACAAACAGGTTGTTACCTAGACGCTGCAGGCCTGGCATAGTCCCTATACTCTTGAGAGACCCAGGCCCTAACGGATCCACAGCCCTAGCACTACCCTTGAGAAGCCTGGCTCTGAACACAGAACCAGAGATAGATACACTGTATCCATGGACACAGAACCAGAGATAACACTGTATCCCTGAACGCAGAGCCAGAGAAAAACACTCTTGACTCGAAGCCAGAGCCAAAGGAACAGAGTTTGACCCTAGAGCCAGAGCCTGTTAAAGAAATTCACCTTGACCCTAAAATCCAAGCCATCTCTGCCTCTGATGCGAAACCAACCAATCCTTGAACAGGAAAGACTGACCAGTCCCTGAGTAGGAAAATAGTAATCTCTAGTTTAGAGGCATGACCTTTCCTGACCTCGGCCCAGGGAGGTAGTCACCTCTACTCTAGGGAAATGACCTCTCCATGACCCCTGACATCAAGGGCTCCTTCCTCCTTAGTAGGGGGAGCTAATCAGAAGTGGGAAGCCCCCTCACCCTTAGGAAGCAACCAGTTCCAAGCCAGTAGACTTAGAGTTCCACAAGCCTTCCCCACTGTATAAACCAGTGTCCCCACATGGCTCAGGGTGCCGCCTGCTCTGCTCCTGCTGCTGCTGCTGCTGCTCAGGTCTGACAGGGAGGTCCAAGTTAACTCACAATAAATAAAAGACTCTTTGCTTTTGCGTTGGATTCTGCCTCATGGTGATATTTCAGGGATCCAGACTTTGGGCATAACACTCTCTCTTCCATTCAGGAAAGGACAGCAGAATGAACAAGGAGAGGAAGATCACTGTGAGTGGAATTTGTCAAAACATGAAAGAAAGACTTTTAACATACTCTTGTGGTCTCAGGGGTAGTGGTGTTAGTTATTTGCAAAAGACTTCCCAGACGATTTTGAAATAAGCAAGGCCCCAGAGGCAACGGCAGCACTGAAAACTTCTTGTGGCTGACGGGTTCTTGATCATTTTCACACTTTATTATTATGTTACCTCACAGCTCCTGGCTATAGCACTCAGCCAGTTCAGTGGGTCTCCAGTGTTACCATGCATCAGAACTGCTTGAAGAGCTCGTAAGGACTTACAGTGAAGTTGGCCAAGCTAAGCCTGATGACCTGAGTTGAACCCTGGAAGCCACATGGTGGAAGGAGAGAACAGTGGTTCCTACATGTCCTTCTCTGGCCACCACACGTGCACAAAACATATCACACACACACACACACACATGCGCGCACATACACACTCACACACAAACTTAAACATCATGTCCACAGGCACACAGGCAGCTCCTATTGCACTCAGTGCATTATAAAACAAAAGAATGTAGAAGTTGGGAGGAAACGTGGTGGGGAACTGGGAGGTGTTGAATTGGAAAAGGGTAGATTTGATCTAAGTACACTATATTCGTGTGTGAAGTTAACACAAAAATATATAGTAAAGGTTTGATAGTTCTCGGTGATTTTGGTGCTGTGGGTCCAGGAACCACACCTTGAGAACCAGAGACTTAGGGTTCCAGGCATTCCCTTGCCAATAGACTTATTAAAAGCCAACCAGGTTCCAGGTAGCCAAAGGAAAAGCAGCAGAGCCGACATCATATGTACTAACCTTTCACTGTATTGTGCTACAATCTCTACAATGACAAGACTTTCCTTTGTCAGTTGGCAGCATCCTCCTATTTTAGATGTGAAAATATCACAGCCAAAGGAGATGAATCAACCTCATAGATCATGTGCACACAAGTCAGAATTGTGAACTGAACAAGCAAAGCTTAAAAAATAAAAAACATAAACAAAAAATAAAAATAGCTTTGGGTGAAAAGTATCTACAAGTGAACAGAATTCCTGCAGAGTTAAGAAAAGGGTTTCAGTTCAGGGTACATGCCAGGGCAAGCCACAGGACGATGAAGGAGGGGTGAGAACATTTGTTAGGCAAAGAAAGAGAAACATGCATGAGCTACTTGCCTGCAAAATGTATTGGTTTGAGAGACCTGAATCCAGAGCTGATGTTACAGTACAGATAGAGTGTGGAGGACATGCTGGGGAGGAGTTAGTGCAGGTAGACTCTGGAGGACGAGCTGAGGAGGAGTCAGTGCAGGTAGACTGTGGAGGGCATGCTGGGGAGGAGTCAGGGCAGGTAGACTGTGGAGGGCATGCTGGGGAGGAGTCAGGGCAGATAGACTGTGGAGGGCATGCTGGGGAGGAGTCAGGGCAGGTAGACTGTGGAGGACATGCTGGGGAGGAGTTAGTGTAGGTAGACTCTGGAGGACACACTGGGGAGGAGTTAGTGCAGGTAGACTCTGGAGCACATGCTGGGGAGGAGTCAGGGCAGGTAGACTGTGGAAGGCATGCTGGTGAGGAGTCAGGGCAGGTAGACTGTGGATGACGAGCTGAGGAGGAGTCAGTGCAGGTAGAGTGTGGAGAACATGCTAAGGAGGAGTCAGTACAGATAGAGTGTGGAGGACATGCTGGGGAGGAGTCAGTACAGGTAGAGTGTGGAGAACATGCTAAGGAGGAGTCAGTACAGATAGAGTGTGGAGGACTTGCTGGGGAGGAGTCAGTACAGGAAGAGTGTGGAGGACATGCTGGGAAGGAGTTAGTGCAGGTAGACTCTGGAGGACATGCTGGGGAGGAGTCAGTGCAGGTAGAGTGTGGAGAACATGCTAAGGAGGAGTCAGTACAGGTAGAGTGTGGAGGACATGCTGGGGAGGAGTCAGTGCAGGTAGAGTGTGGAGAACATGCTGGGGAGGAGTCAGTGCAGGTAGAGTGTGGAGGACATTTTGGGGAGGAGTTAGTGCAGATAGAGTGTGGAGGACATGCTGGGGAGGAGTCAGGGCAGGTAGACAATATGGAGGGCGTGCTGACAGGGTTTACGTTCGACTCCTTTATGTTTGAGCTGTCCACTGTCCCATGTCAATTCTGATCACAAGTAAAATGTGAGTTTCTCTCCCTCATATTTTCTGACTTTTAATTTTTTTCATCAAGATCGTTTACATAACAGTGAGAAGCTTTGTTTAAAAAATAAAGAAAAGGTTATCTTCTAGGCCCCGCACACATGGACAACTGTAACTGCACACATGAATACACACACAAATGTGACCCAAAACTAACCATGATACACTGAAAATGGCAGGTTTTGTCTTATATTTTGGTTAACAGACATAACTCAGGTGTAGCTTTTATTCTTTCAGCTCTTTAGCGCCTTGGGAGCCCACCACCCACCTCCCAAATAAATACATGGAGTCTTATTCTTTCTTATGAGAACCCAGCCTTAGCTTAGCTTATTTTTAGACAGCTTTTCTGAACTTCAATTATCTCATCTACCCTTTGACTCCAGGCTTTTATCTTTCTCTATCGTGTATACCTTTCTTTATTTCTTACTCTGTGGCTTGCTATGTAGCTCGGTTGCTGGCCCTTGAAGTCCTCTCTCTTTCTTTTATTGTTCCTTGATCTTTCTTTCCCAGATTTCTCCTCCTATTTATTCCCTCTGCTGGCAAGCCCCGCCTATTTTCCTCTCCTGCCTAGTTATTGGCCATTCAGTTCTCTATTAGACCAATCAGGTGTTTTAGGCAGGCAAACTAACACAGCTTCACAAAGTTAAACAAATGCAACACACCTATGCATCATTAAACCAATGTTCCACAGCATAAACAAATGCAACACATCTTAAAGTCGTATTCTACAACACTCTGGTGTTATCTCATTGCAAAGTCTTCTGTTAGTTATGGTACCATGGTATAATGCATAGTTGCCTTGATGACTCGAGACCTTGTGTGTCTTAGAACCACCAGCAGCACTCTGAGAAACATTGTGGGAAATGCAGATACAGGATGCTGGAGGTTGGCTTCAGTGTGTAGACAACTCTATTGTATCATAATCCAACTACATTTTAAACATTTAACTTTTTCATTTTCAAAGTTGCATTTATTTATTTTATGTATGTATTCATGGGAGGGGGCATGCAGAAGGTGCTGTGACATGCATATAGAATTCAGAGGATCACTTGGAAGAACCAATTCTCTGCTTCTGCCATGCGGGTCCCTGGGACCCAGGTCATTAGGCCTGCCAGCAGACACAAGTAAAGGTTCAGTAGAGAGCCACAGGCCCCTATCTTTTCTGTAATCAGAATGGAAAGGGGATCCGAAGGCAGGGCTAACCAAATGGTTCCATTGGGTGGGATTCAGATCAATCAAGCTCACCCCAATTTGTGCACATAGCTAACAAGCTTCATTAAATGTGACCATTTCTCTCCTTTGTGACTGGGTCAGTCACAAAGAAGAAAGCTTTCCCTGGCCCTGTGCAGGGCTGTTACCCCATCATCAGAGAGAGACACCATCTGTGTAATTACCATTTGAGACATGAATCATCATTTGCAAAGCCCAGACCTGTGCAACTCTATAAAAGGAGCGCAGGTCCAGGGGCAGGGGTGCACTGTCTGCCACCCCCTGGGCTGACATATTTACCACGAGACCAAGAGGAAATGAAGGTGCTACCTGCCTCTGGCCTTGCTGTCCTTATCACAGCTCTAAAGTTTGCCACCGCAGTCCCCACCCTATTTGCAGCCACTCCTAGGACCTTCAGGAGCAGCTACCACCTCGCACAGGTTTGTGACTCTCCACCCCATCCCTCATCCTACTCCTAACCCAGAACACCCAACAGGGCATATGAGAAAGTCAACAAAAATCTATTAATGTCCACAGAAGTCTGATGAACCACACCATCTAAGATCCGTTCCTAGTGCTCTTAAGTGTGTGTGTTCCGTGGATGAATTCATGGCTGAGTAGATGTATCTGTGTAGATGTATCACATTATACAGAATATGAGTGGAGTTGTACAACATACAAAATTCAAAAACAAGGCTGTGAATTTAATGTTGAGTGCTCAGCATCCACATGGGAAAATTTTCTTAGGTTTGCATTTTGAAAAATGACTTTTGTGCTCCAGGTAGCATTACTCAGAATTTAAGACAGACCAAGCTTTCTTCTCACCAGAGGGTCTTTTCTCCCTCCTGTGCTTCTCCACAACCCTTACCTCAACTTCCCTTTCCCCCTTGTGGTCTCTTGCACCTGAATGGACTATGAAGGAACTGACTGTGGTGGAAAGGATAAACAATTATATTAGAATTTTGTAAAGATTTCATGGCTGGAAATCATCCCAAATACAGAGAAGTCAGTTAATGGAGAAGAGTGATCTTTAACCTGTAGGACCAGATCTCGGATGACAGAATGGCTAGCTACGGTGAAAGGTATTTGTAGATGTGTGCCTGGTTCTCCTGGGAGTCTGGTGAAAGTATAGCATGCACATGTACATCTCTGCCTGGGGGCTGCTATCTGGTCCGGCTAAGAGCTAGGCATCTGTCACCTATGCACCCTTGACTGTCCCTACCAATTGTTTTGACACTCGACCATTTGGGTTGATCAGTTTCTTTTACAACATGAGAGAATTCAGGGAACATTTGCAATAACAGCCCTGCATATGAATAAGCGAGTCCAGCTTGACAGTAGACACCCCCTCCCCAGAAGATGGGACACCCCCTCCCCAGAAGACGGCAACATCAAGAGTAGACGCCCACTTGAGCCAACTTTCTTCCTCTAGAGCCCATGTGTGATGAACTCAATTCAAAGTAGCTCCAGGCACTAAAATTTTAAATTGTGTTTTCCTGGTCCTTTTTCTCCATATGTAATTCCCCCTCCAGAAACTACAAAGCTTTTGTGGTACCCACTTCCTGACACACAGAGCAGGTGGTGCTCTACCAGAATAGATCTGAGCCAGTGGGGGTTCTGACATTAGTCAGACACTCTCCCAGCCAACCGTGGCCAGACCATTAGATTACAGGCTGTTGTCCGATAATGGTTGACTATGGTCTGCAGAAACCAAAAGGCAGCTCTTTACAGAGGAATTAACGTGGTCCCACTTGAAATAGGACTAAGGTCAGAAAGTTTTGGTCAAGTCATCTTTGCTAGTCTGGTCATCTGTGGGGTGGGGACGCATTTCAAAAGAATGGAGTGACTGAGGTGCTGAGGTCTGTTAGGACACTCTTATTTCATTCTCTATGTAAGCCTCTGTTGTACCTTCGGTACTGTGTCACCTGCCACACAGATGTTCCTGCTGCAGCAGGCCCAGGCACCTGCTCTGGAATGAGCATATTCTTTGAGAGTACACAAAGATGAGGGCAGATCTGTCATGCTAAACCCAAAAACTAGAAACAATTTATATGCGATCATGTAGCTTACAGAAATATCCATAGCATCAGCCTTGGGAGCTCACAGAATCCCAATGCAAACAAGCAGTGTCTATTGTTACTGGTGGCCTCTGGGCAGTATGAGCGCCAAAGCGCGGCTGAGAAGATAAGTCTGTCTCTTCTCTCACGGTGCTGACGGGAGAATGGCGGGACCGGAAGGAGGGTAAAGGGAGAAAGCAAACGTGTCTCTCACGTGCACAAGCTTATTTTAGAAAGTAGGAAGAGACACCGGAAAGAGACTGGCTGACTGGGACTGTGTCCCATCCAGGGAACCTCTCAGACAGTCACATCTGGGATGAGCCTCAGCTGTAGAATGAGCTTGTCCTGGAAAATCCTGGAGGCAGGGCAAGCTGGCAAAAGCATCCTTAAGTGCAGGAGTCCAGTGTAGAGGAGTGTGGGGTGTAATCACTGTGTGGCGGAGCTCAGAGACCATGAAAAACATGGGTAACTAGAAGGCATCTTCCACTCTGCTCTTTTCCTCAGAAACCGCTAGCTACGAAATAACAACCCAGACATCTGTGTCCCCAAACCCACAGACAAACATCTGCACTTGAGAACTTAAACAGTCCTTACTTCATTTATTTATAAATCCTTAAGTTCTGGGTTTGTTGATCTGCATTAGGGCTTTGAAATGATAGGATGGGGCAGTAGATGTAATATGGGTGGGCAGAGCTAGGAATACAGCTCAGTAGTCGAGCATTTGCCTACCGTACCCGAGGTCCTTCCTCCACTCCCCAGCATACACACAGTGAGGGAGGAAGAGGGGGAGAGTGACTACTTCATGGCTTGCTTTTTCAAACAGTGTAGATGTTTCTTGGTTTAGAGTGGTGCTGTGTCTTGATAACCTCACCGTAGGTCCCACAGCTTACCCAAAGCTCTTGCGCGGCGCACAGCACTCTGCGGTTAGCCGGCGTTGGCCTGGCTACTGTGTGGCTGTGAGCTGTGGTCATGGCCGAGGCTCGGGATCCAGAGAGAGCCGCACCCCACACTTCCAGTCTAGGGAAAGACCAAGAGGGAAACTTTGTAGTGCGGTTTGTATTGAGAGGGCATATCACCCTCGCACCTTCATAAAGTCAAAGCCCACTAGCCCAGCCTATCAGAACGTGGGCACCACCTGGTGCTGTTGACATGACGTCTAAAACAGCTTCTGGAGGGTCTCTCAACACAGTACTTACCACACGCTTATGAAAAATTAAACCATCCAAAAGAGGATCCTAGATTCTGGAGCCATTTGTACCACTTTCTTTTCTGTGACAAAGATTTTTCTAATTGCTATTATCTTTAAATTTTGGCTTCTATTTTTCTTGCTGAATATTATACCATAAAAACATTTTAGCTTTTAAACTATTTTCATAACTTTGAAGAGTTACAAACAGGGACTAAAGAGATGGCGGAGCTCTACTCTCGACATCCACATGGTAAAGAAACACATTGGTACCGTCTCAGTAGGGAAGACAGTCAGGAAGGCTGAAGCTGGCCAGAAAGCTAAAGTGGGAGGAATTCAAAGAATTGCCCTGGCCTGTTCTGTACAGCCTGCATTCAGATAGCGTCAAAGTCCTTACAAACCTCTTTTGATGACTCTGAGAGATAGGGGAAGAAAGCATACTCTGGCCGCTCCTCAAACCAGTGACTTGAGTCCTAAGATGTTGGCAGGGAGCCAGCAGAAACAGACCCTCTTAGCCTCGGCTACTTTTATTTGTCAAACATTAGACAAGAAGCAGGCAGAGGACAGTTGGAGTGAAGGCTGAAACTTAGTGATTTGAACCGTGTGGGCGGTGCAGGTGGGAGGACACCAGTAAGTCTGGAAACCTGTGACCCAAGGACAGCATCAAAGTAGTGGCCTATAAAACGGGACAGTTCCAAGTATACCTCTAAGTGCAAAATGGAACACCTTGACTGCAGAAAGAATGCCAAAGCCTTGTCAACAGCTCTGGCAAGAAAGTGCCCACAGCACAAGCCTCACCCTAACTCAGAACGAACGAGAGTCCTCCATAGAGGCATTCCTAACCCATTGCCTCAGGAATCACCATCTCCTTAATGTCATTGCAGTGACTTGGCTTTGTTCTTTTATTAAGTAGGAATAACTTCTGAGTTTATTTCATTAAAACTGACAGCTCTGATCCCATCTATTAAGTTCAGCCTTAAACTTTTAAAGCTGTAGGTTTGACAACCTGCGGAAAATTTAAAGGAAAAGAAAAACATTACAAGCATTGTGTAGCCTCATAGGAGAAAACATAAAAACCACAACCGAAAAAAGGAGATTCCCCTAGTTCCATCAGTAGCTTGTAGACACCGCTAATCCTTTTGTCTGTAGCTTTAAAATTAACTCGTTCTTACTGAGGGTGAGGTTGTGGCCAAGGCAAGCATGGGCTGCTTTTGGTTTTGAGGTTTTGGGGTTTTTAACTTTCTATTTATTCTTTGAGAATTTCATACATGCAAACAATATATTTCAACCACCTTCATCCCACCCTCCAAATCCACCCAGATCCTGTCAACATTCCCCACCCCAACCTCATACTTTCTCTTTTTAAAAAATATGTCCCTCTGAATCACTGCTCATACCTGTTGAAGGGGGGGTCACTTGTTTGTTCCTGACGGCTCGCCAGCTCAGACCCAAAATAATTACACAGAGACTGTATTAATTAAATTACTGCTTGGCCCATTTCTAGCATTCTGTGTATTGCCGCGTGGCTGTGGCTTACCGGGTAAGGTTCCATCCAGCTCCAGCAGGGCTACATTGCTTATCTCTACTCTGTCTTCCTTCTCCCAGCATTCAGTTTAGTTTTCCCTGCCTAGCTAAGTTCTGCTCTATCAACAGGCCAAGGCAGTTTCTTTATTCACCTATGGTATTCGCAGCATACAGAGGGGAATCCCACATCACATACCTTTCCAGGTATGGGGCTGTGCCAGGAGGCAGCAGGGCAGGGACTGCACCTCTTAGAATGCAGGCTCCCCTCCTATGCTAGGGTGGGAGTCCCAGGGCACCCTTTACCCCTGACCCAGATGATCCTGCTAGCATGTAAAATTTTCAGGGGTTTTAAGGACTTTCTGGCATTGGTTTTAGGGGGTTGCCCAGTGTTTGTACAGATTTATTATTTCTCTTGACTGTTGAGTCTTTAGTAACCTCTCCCTGGTCCCTGTGTCCTTGTTTGTGACAATGGCACTTTAACAACAGTAAATGCCGGGTTTGCCGAATTTACCATAAATACCCCCCTTCTAAGGTTACATCTCATAAAGCAGACATCAGAAGGTCGAGTCTAGCACATTCTCAAACAATGTGGGGAGGGGGGAAATCCTTGAAACTGAAACCATCGCAGAAATACTGAGCATCAGGAATTAGACGCAGTTCCCTGTTCTCCGAGGAGCATAACTGAGACATCACCTCAAGCTGCCATAAACTAGAAGTCCTCAATGCAGCTTCAGCCTCAGAAAGAAAGAGGAAATGAAAAGAAAAGAAAAACAAAGAAGCCCTGAGCACAGATGGAGCCAGAAACATAATTTCCCTGAAGGTCAGTGTTCCTCATCCGAGTTGAAAGTCCTAAAATTTTAAAAAATGTTTCAGATCTATTTTTATTTGTGTGTGTTTGGATGCATGTGTGCCACACACATGTGCTCACAAAGACCCAAAGAGAAAGTCAGATCTCCTCGAGCTGGCGGTACAGACAGTTGGGAACCATCCAAACTGGGTGCCAGGAACCAAACTCGGGTCCTCTGGAAGAGCAACAGCAGCACTCTTAGCTCCTTAGCCAAACTTCCCAAGGGCTGTTCCCCGGCAAAGTCACCTCCTCTGGGGACGGGAGAGAGGAAATGGAACATGAACTGTAACAACGGCCGACGTCACCACAGAAAACGTATGGAGCACGAAAGGGAAAGGCAGAGTCGCCTGCAGTTGCCCTGTGCACAGACGACGGCACTGGCACTCAGGCCTCGCCGCCTCCCGTCATTGCTCACTGTATACACGTTCTTTACTTCCGAAACTGCAGGACTCCAACACAGATTTCTCTTCCCTTTTATTCTGTGTGTTGTTGTTCCATTGAGAACATTCTCTATGCCAGTAAATATTTTTTAAAGATATGATCTTAGTATATACTTAGCTTTGGTTCACATGGATATATGATAATCTTTCTAACAAATCGCCCGTTGTAGGTGGGATGTGGCCCAGCAGTAGGGCACTTGCACAGCACGCCAGTGTCTCCAGGTTCACACCCTAAAAACAAACGTATACCGCTTGCTTGCAACATTTAAATATATCTAGTATATGTTAGTATACTAGGCATAATTTATAAATAGTTAAGTCTATGGTTAATGTAGAGATAAATGTTTTTATTTATTTATAGAATTTTTATAAAGTTATAAAATATAAAAATTTGCACACAATAAATAATCAACTAAACTTAAATGTAGGATTCTAACTCTCTGGCCACAGTGGGCAGGGAAAATTCCTGACCCAAATATGGGCCTCCACTATGCATTTGTGCGATCCTGTGCAGTTCAGGTGGCCCTGCTCCCAGGGGAATATCCACACAGCAGGGTGATCAAGGTATCCTGTGTGGGTGAAACCTGGTAGTGCAGGGAGGAGCTAATGTTTTTTTTACTCGTTGAGTATTTCATACACGTGTGTGATGTATTTTGATCATATTCATTACTGCTCCTCCCCAACTCCTGGATTCTTCCCAATCTCCCTCCCAACTTCATGCCCTGTATTTTTTTCCTCTGTCTCCTTTTTGTTGCCCTCTGAGTCCAGCTGGTACTGCTCACGTGCACAGAGGTGTGGGCCACCACTGGAACACGTCAACCTACAAGGAGGCTTGCCTCTAAGGAAAGTGATCCCCTTCTCTCAGCAGCCATCACGGGACTCATATGCTTCTCCTGCATCCCTGCTGCAGTGTTGACTGGCTTGGTTCTGTGTTACAGGCAGGGGTCCCATCACGTCCAAAGGACTCTGTTGCACCTTACTCCTCCTGGGACTCTGTCTCCTCCAGTCTTCCGACCCCCTGCTCCATAATGTTCCCTGAGTCTCATATGCAAGAAGCCTAATAATTTATGGCTCATTTTCTTGCCTCAGAGGGTAGTGAGCCTGTTTCAGGAAACCACCCTATAAAAAGAAAGCTCACCCACAACCCACCAAAACTAGTTAAGATCTCCAGTCCATACAGTGGCTTCTTTGTGTCTCTTGGGGGGAAAAAAAACCTACTTATTTCACATTATACATTATGTGTTCTATATTACATGATTAAGAATGACATACCAACATCAACCTGTGGTTTCCACATGAGCCCATACAAGCAAGTATGCCCGCACACACATGTGTATACCACACACACACGCAAAAGCTGTAGGGGAGGAGAACGGTCTACAAAAGTAATCACTAATAAGTTTTGGCAAACATGTTTCATCTATGCAAATACGTCAAAGTTTTTAAAATAAGAAGACATACCCTATTTATATGAGGACTATTGCACCCTGCCCCAGCTGAGTAAGGGTGCGTAGGGGCGCTCACCAACCACACCACCAGCTGAGTAGGGGTGCGTAGGGGCGCTCACCAACCACACCACCAGCTGAGTAGGGGTGCGTAGGAGCGCTCACCAACCACACCACCAGCTGAGTAGGAGTGCATAGGGGTGCTCACCAACCACACCACCAGCTGAGTAGGGGTGCGTAGGGTGCTCACCAACCACACCACCAGCTGAGTAGGGGTGCGTAGGGGCGCTCACCAACCATACCACCAGCTGAGTAGGGGTGCGTAGGGCGCTCACCAACCACACCACCAGCTGAGTAGGGGTGCGTAGGGCGCTCACCAACCACACCACCAGCTGAGTAGGGGTGCGTAGGGCGCTCACCAACCACACCACCAGCTGAGTAGGGGTGCGTAGGGTGCTCACCAACCACACCACCAGCTGAGTAGGGGTGCGTAGGGCGCTCACCAACCACACCACCAATGTGTCAGCCTGCTCTCCCTTTCAGGACTACCTTGACAAGTATTACACACACAAAGGAGGCCCCCAGGCCGGTGAGATGGTGGCGAGACAAGGCAACCCCATGGTCAGGAAGATTAAGGAGCTGCAATCTTTCTTTGGCCTCCAAGTCACTGGGAAGTTGGACCCGAGTACCATGAATGTGATCAAGAGGCCTCGCTGTGGCGTCCCTGATGTGGCCAACTACCGCCTCTTCCCAGGTGAACCCAAATGGAAAAAAAATATTTTGACATACAGGTAATGAGATTGAGTCTTTCCCAATTCAAAGAGAAAGACGCGCCTCACCTTCTCCTTTTCTTCCCAAACTCTCTTGCTCTTGATCTGTGGGGAAGGCAGAACCCACAACAGCCATGAGAAAGAGTAGAATCTCTCCAGCTGTCTTCTCGAAAATCTAATCTCAGGATAGCTGTCCATCTCTCCATTACAGACCTGACCAGCTAAGATTAAAGTAGCCCTTGGGTAGGACTGATAACCTTTTAATCTGGCCAGTTGGGCTCGGCTACTCAATCAAATGAGAGACTAGAAGCCAAGTGAGACACCACCTCAGAAAAAGCATGGATGTCTCGTGAGAAACAACACTGGAGTTTGGCCTCCACCCTCACCCCACCCTTTCCCACACATACACTGCCAAAGACTCATTAATAATATTCATTCACCAATTCCACAAATCATTTGCTGATGATTTTGGCTAATATAGGCACTCAGTTTGTGGAATATAAAGGTGCACGGATCATCCTTCTCCTTTCTGGTCTTTAGGGGGAGACAGACATGAACAAGGAGAAAGAGTTGTCCTCACAGGCCCTCAGTGGGCTCTGGGGCAGCAGAGGGGGAGCTATCTGGCTGGCCAGTCATACAGAAGTGGCTCCTGACCCTGATTTGAAGCCAGTTGCACCTTCAAGTCCCGTTTACCCATGGTGCCTGCCTGGTACTGCCCCATCATCTGGTATCTTCCTGTTTAGACAGAGGAGGCCGCCCAACAGGAGCTTTGGTTCTTCCTTCCTGAGCTCTCAGTAGAGAGAGCAAATTTCCTGCTCTAGATTCCTTGATCCACTCCAGGGCTCATTTAGAGGATAGCCCAACCTAAAGAGCATCACCCAGGGTGCCCACTCCTCAGCCTCAGTGACCCTGAAGGAGGTGGGTGGCGCTGTCAGGCTTGGGCCTCACATAGGCCTAGTGGGTATATCGTTGGGTGGTTCTATGCCAGATTTTTGTACCTACCAACCAAGCTGAGTGAGATGGACCCTCGTGTTGCCAGTCCCAGTGCCCAAGCACACTAGTGAAGTGCAGGAGAGGGCATGGCAAGGGAGTGGTGGAACTGAGGCTGGGGAGGCAGCTGAACAGTAAGCTAGCTTTGGGGAAGGCCAGGATCTGGATTCTGTGGGCTCCAGGATCTGGATCCCGTTACATTGCCAGGACCAGAACACTTGGATGAGACCTGGAGATGAGCAGGGTTGTGTTGCTGCACACTTCAGCAGGTGGGAAGAAGACAGTTTCCTTGCTACAGCAGGAGCCAGCTGCAATGGCAGGGATTCTGGGGTTTATCGTTATGTTCCCAAGAGCTTCCTGGGCTTCTTGATACACAATGATGTAACTTTACAAGTAGAGTGTATTTTAAAACAGAGCTAACCAGAATATATTACTTCCTACTTTTCCGTTTTCCCCCTACCTAGATTCACAAGCTTATCCGTGTCTATTTTACCTGACTAATCTCCTCACTCCACAGTGGCCTCTTGACTGTTGCCAATGTGGTATCCCTGATGGTCGGGCACTATTTACAATACAAAAACCAGCAAGCCGTGCTGGCCAGAGTCATGTGTTCCCTGGTGAAGGAGATTGTTAAACCCTTCTGACAAACCTGGTGATCCCACACAAGACAAGAAGTTGGTGGGGACTTTTGTTACCTGCTATTAGAGGCCCCGTCCACAAGGTGCCACTCAGGCCAAAGAAATCAAAGCAATGGGGTAGCCTAAGAAAAGTTCACCACAGTCTGAGAAACAACTACAGTTTAAGCTCTTAGAGGGAAAAAAAGATAAATTCATGACATCTTTTCATAATTCTTTCAACTGTGTCCTAGAATTTTATGATGTTGCTATGCACAGTTAACAGCAGGGTCGTGAATGTCGGAATAACTCCCGTAACTAACATAGCTGATGCACATGGAAGGCAGGAAGCACACAGAGTGCTCCTGGGCACAGCCTGGAAAGCAGACAGAGCAGGACTGGGCTCCCCCTAACCACAAAGTGCAGGCCTTGATCATCATCATTACCCACTGCCTGGGCCTGAGAGGACGAGATAACACACCGCGTTAAAAAGTGCTGAGAGCCCAGTCTGGCACGGAGCTCATCTCCAAAGAACACTGCCTTCACACCATCAGCTCATGGTTTTCAATCCGTAGACCCCAGGTCAGGATTTTCTCCACTTCCCTTTCTCTTGTGTTATTCTTTTCCCCATCCTTCTCTTGGCTGTCTCAGCTACACCATCAACTCAAGGACACAGTTGCTCCGCCTGTATCGAGAGGGAATGACGAGGTATTGTCTAGCCTGGGCCTAAACCATAGGACTGTATGACAGAGGGGTGTGAGTATTTTTAAATCATTAAATGGTCCAGAACTGAACAATTTTCCCTCTCCTTTCTTGGTCTTTATTTTGAGTACCCTAGGATTTTGGTCTTGTGTGCTAGCTCAGATCATATCACCTGTATGAGAATGATCTAAGAAACTTGCTAAAGTACAGATTTCAAAACTAAGCCAGTACATTCAACAAGCTTGCTAGACTGTTGTCACGGACCCTAAAGTTTGAGAGTCCTAGGATATCCTAAACAGCTAGCCTTTGTTCTTCCATTTGCCAAGTACCTGCATTTGGCAAATGTGTCTGTCTGTGTTAGACACGAGTCAAAGCTAGAGAAAAGGCTGTGGCCTCAGATCTACCTCCAAAGTCGGCTGCTGAACATCTGCCTCCTCATTTTGCAGCCATTATTCCAGCCCAGTCCAGAGTCCCAGGTGAAATTCTTTCCCCCCTTTCACTGCTAGCAGAACTCCAATCTCTGGGCTTCAGCACAGAGGGAACCCTGGGATCCAGCAACTCTGCACTTGTCTCCAGAAAAACCTCTATGCTCTTCTAAGTTGTCCCCTGGACTCTCCCAAGAGAGCTCAGGCCTCTTCTCACCCCAGTGAGCATTCTGTTCTAGGCTAACAAATCCTTTCAAGGAAAGCACACAAAGGGCTGGAGAGATGATTCAGCAGTTAAAAGCACCTGCAGAAGATCAGGTCCAATTCTCAGTACCCACAAGGCGACTCACAGCCCTCTGTAACTCCAGTTCCCTAGGGATCGATGCCCTCTGCTGGCTATCATGAGCATTGCACACATTATGCACAGACAATACATGCAAGCAAAAAACACCAATACACATACAATAAAAACAAACCTTTTAAAAAGCAAATTTTAAAAATTTTAAAAGAAACTGTGCCTCTCTGTCTCTCCTGTGTCTGTCTGTTTGTCTCTCTCTCTCTCTCTCTCTCTCTCTCACACACACACACACACACACACACACACACACACTTACAGGCCACTCTCCAACCCTGGGGAAATTCCATTGACCTTTGATAAAGAATTGAAGTAGCAAACCCTCCAACAACGAGAACTAACCGTTCAAAAGTCCAGGGCTGGATGTCTCTGCCTTCTAGGTCTCTCTGTAGTGTCCTGTTGGACAAGAAACAATCCGGGATGTTACAAAGCAGGGCAAGAACTACTGATTCAGGAAAAAGAAAACAAAAAACAAATTGTGCCATGGAGACCCAGGCCTGTGGTCTGTGCCATGGAGACCCGGGCCTGTGCTCTGTGAGCAGTCTATGCTATGGAGAGCCGGGCCTGTGGTCTGTGAGCAGCCCGGGCAGTTCCTCTGCCTGTCTGTTTGGGAGCAGTCACTGAAACACATCTGCTTTTCCTTTGTCCAGAGTCTCTAAGTACACACCTTCCATGAGTCCTGCTGAGGTGGACAAGGCTGTGGAGATGGCCCTGCGTGCCTGGAGCACCGCCGTCCCTCTGAACTTCGTTAGGATAAACTCTGGGGAAGCAGATATCATGATATCTTTTGAAACTGGAGGTACTGTACTGTTTCTTGGGTTCTTTGCCCCGAACTTGCTCCTTTGACAGACTTAAGGCTTGATCAGCTCAGGGCTTCATCCCATAGCACTGGGATGGGTAAAGGCGGGGGCAAAGATGAGCATCCCTTCAGAAGGCAGGATAGAGCAGTCTCAGCACTGTCTGAGCTACTCTTTCACTGTGGCTCCACCCCAGGAGAGGACAGTTCGATCAGCTTTAGTTTCCTACTGACTAGGGGGCCAGACGACTCCAGGGTTTCCCATAACAATGTTTATCACTATTACCTGGTTTCATAGTGCCCAATATTCTTCTAGCTGGAGTCCCCTCTAAGGAAGTCAATTCCCCAGGGACCCTGTGGTCGCCACCCCTGTGCAATAGTTACAGAGGTAGCATTCAGGGCCCACCCTGCTTAAACACTACTCTTGGGAAGTGCATGTGCGTTTTCCTCTACCTGCCTGCTACTCCATTTTCTCCCCTGCAGAGAAACCCTTGCAGGAAACAGAAGAAACAGGATGCCCCTAAAACACTCCCCTCCTCCACTTACAGCAGTGAAGATGAATGTCACTCCCTCTTCCCCTGCCCAGATAATGCTGCTAAGTGCCCAAGACAGTCTGAGCCCTGAGCTTATTCCAGTCTGGTGTTGCTACAGGGAATGTGCTTAGGAGGGAGGGGAGGGGAGGCCAAGGGAGCCATGAAATGGCCTTGAGTGGAAGGTAGCCTTTGGCAGGTCCTGTTCCTGCCAGGCATCAAGGGCACTTGGTGAAATGGCAGGACATTGTGAGTCAGGGTAAGTTCAGGGTACATGGAATTGATTTGCGATTCCTTGTCTTTCAAGCTGGTCTTCTGTCTCCTAGCACAAAGGCTGCCTAGAAACCAGCCAATCTCCCTTCCACTTCTCAGAACACACAGACCTGATGGAACTGCATCAAATGAGAGCTGAGAAATAGCATACTGAATCCGGGGGTGGGGCTTTAAAAACGATAAACAGGGCCAGTGAGGTGACTGGGCCAGCAAAGCCCTTGCTGTCAAGCCTGGTAGCCCAGGTCGATCCCAAAAACCTGCCTGGTGGGAGGAGAGGACCGGCTCCCTGTGTTGTCCTCTGATCTCCACATAACAGTGAGTACAGCCACTCTCTCTCACACACAAAGTAAATACATTTAAAACTAACAAATTAATAAAATGAAATACAAATACCAATTTTTAAGTAAACGAAAAATCGAGCACTGTCACCAAAATTCTGAGAATTCAAGAGCAGTAGCTTCTGTCCATCCTTCAGATGGTTTCTGTCGAGTCATGATGCTGCTAACTACAGAGGGCAGAACAAAGCGCCAAAGGCCCCGGGTACCGGGATTTCCCCGACCACCTTTTCTTTCATAGACTTTACATGTGCAGCTATCAAAATTACAAAGACATTTTCTTTTGATTTTTTTGCACTTAAATTATGTTATGCCATGCAAACAGAAAGCACACTTTCAGTTTACTAAACCCTTTCAGAGGAATTGGACTTTGCTGACAGGTTTATATTGTAATCAGTCAGTGGGCCTGGCTGCTACCAAATGTCCCTCAGTTCTTTCTCCTTCTGTAATCTGTGTTGTGTGACCATCTACCATATGCTGTGTGTTGTGATGAAAACCATTAGCACAAAGATTGCCTGTTTGCAACGCATCTTTGAAGTACAAAATAATCTTTCTATTTTTCAATTCCATGACCCTTGACCTTTTCTATACTTAAGAATGAGTATTAATGCCAGGGAAATGACGTGGCAGTTAAGAGCACTTGTGCTGCAACTACGCCCTCTTCTGGCCTCCTTGGGCACTGCACACATGAGCACATACTCCCACAGGGAGTACACACATAATTTAAAAAGGTCTTTCAAAGATAAATATTGAAAAGCTCATTTAAGGGCCAACGCTGTTGAGAATGTTGATCGCCTTCTGCCCAGAATTACTATGCCTTGATATGATTGATGTTTCCCACTTAGATCACGGGGATTCCTACCCATTTGATGGGCCTCGAGGGACTCTGGCCCATGCATTTGCACCTGGAGAAGGCTTGGGAGGAGACACGCACTTCGACAATGCTGAGAAGTGGACTATGGGGATGAACGGTATATATGCACAATTCACCATAACCTGGAAACTATTGTACCTTCTTCTGGGCTCCATCATGAAACCTTGAGGTTCAACGTCCCAAGCTACCCTTTAACTAGGGGGCTGGGTAGGAAAAACAAGTAAGCCAAAAATCCAGAAGGGAACCTACAGGGGAAGACCTTCCTACTATGATGCTATAGATTTGCCTGCTCTCTGTTTCTTGGCATTTAATCCACAGAGCCAATCCCATCCCAGTGCACAGCTTACTTCTTGTTCAGATGTATAAAACTATAGTTTTTTTACCTGCATGTGGAAATGACCCCACGAAATGAATTAGTACTCTCCTGAGGAGTGTGATGGGGGAGGGGGTGTAAAGTTCCCAGCATGCCATGCAGGTCATCTGAGTGTGAAACACAATGAAAGAAGAAGCTGGTACACCCCACACACTTAGGATAGTCATTAGAAATCCTGCTTTGATGTCAAGTAAATTAAAATCTCAATTCCTGGTTCCACCGATTGTTGACTGTAACCATGGGTAAATTATTTTGACTCTGTGAATCTAGTTTCCTCAAGCACTGACTGAAATGGTAACTGTGTATACCACTGAGCTGTGTGAAAACAGACGCATTTTAGAGCCGAAAGCTAACCTTCCTATAACTGAATTCAGCTTGGTGTGTGAGCCCAATTTCCTTATAGCAGAAGATAATTTGATTGCATTGGACTACATTCCATTTCTATCCAGTGATTTTTTTCATATAACCAATTTATAGTATAAAAGGGGGTAGGCTGTAACAGAAGGTGACTCTAGGACTTAAAATCCAATGCTGTACACTACTGCAAATTTCATCACCGCTCCTAACTGCCAGACCCTTTGTTATCCACTATCACACATTGCTGGCAATGGGAGAATGGACTGTTTTACATTTCCCTCTGCCCCCCTTCCCCCAAAGGGTGAAGGAACCAAAAGAGACTAAAGACAGGAAAGCCAAGTACTAGACTTGTCTCCCAACCTTTGAGTCCCATTATGAAAGGAGAGCTAGCTGTGATGTGGCACAAATTCTCCTGGGACAAGCTGAGGAAACACAACTGTGTTGACGCCCTTGCTCTCTCTCTCTCTCTCTCTCTCTTGCTGTTTAGGGTTCAATTTATTCACCGTCGCTGCTCACGAATTTGGCCATGCTCTAGGCCTGGGCCACTCCACAGACCCGTCAGCACTTATGTACCCAACTTACAAGTACCAGAACCCCTATAGGTTCCATCTCCCTAAGGACGACGTGAAAGGAATTCAAGCACTATATGGTATGATTTCTTCACTACCTCTCACCCCTGGTTAGAGAGTACAATTTCCCAGGACTTAGCTGCATCAACAGAGATGAAGCTAGAGCCACATCTGCCTATAAAGAGTGTGTGCACCAGAGAAAGCACTGCTGTCTTGTCTTTCCTCCAGAGTATCCTGGCTCTAAAAAGCCAAGGAAAATGGTCCATTTCCTATTTTCCAAAGCAAAAAATTATGCATTGGAAGATGGAAGGTGGTGATTATAGTTTATAGTTTATACAAACACACACACACATTGACAGATAAGGGGTCTTAGCTCCCAAAAATAGTGATAATGATGCTAATAACTCTATCACTCAACCATATAGATAATCTGTGGAGTATGATACCTGCTTACACTTGTCATTTATGTCCTTTTCATGGCAAGTTTGTATAAACTCTAATTTCATTGAAGTAAAAGGTAGCAGGGATCTTAAGGCATCTTTAGCTACCATTTGGTTGTGCATAACAGTAAAAAATAGCAACATCTTCTTACGGACTATTTTCATTAATTCTCTGAGAATTTCACATAAGTGTACAATGTTTTTTGATTCTAGTCACTTCCCATACCGCCCCAACTCATCCCATACACACACGGGCTTCCAAACCCTGCTACCAACTCCGTGCCATCTTTGGTTTTTATAATGCACTAAATCCAAATTGTACCGCCTGTGTACCGGAGCAAAGACACCAAAGTCCACGCCCATGGCAAACTGGCTTTCCAGGAGTCCTCAGCTGCTGGTATTTTCAGGTATTACTTAAGTTTTACACAATATTCATAGGTAGGTTCTGCTGGTAGCACTCCCAATTTACAACTGATGTAACCAAGGCTGTAGGAAGTTAAATTGTTTTATGTCACACAACTAACAGGTAGAGATGCTGAGACTCAAACCCAGGTCTGCCTGCCATTGGCAGCCATTTCCTTATGGTATTCTAAAGTTCTCAAGAGTAGAAGTGGACATGCTCTGAGTTGCTGGCATTGTTTTACACTTTGAATCCTAGGACCCCGGAAGACATTCCCAGGAAAGCCCACCATGCCCCATATCCCGCCTCACAAGCCATCCCTCCCTGACCTCTGTGACTCCAGCTCATCCTTTGACGCTGTGACGATGCTGGGAAAGGAGCTTCTGCTCTTCAAGGACAGGTGAGCCCAAGACTTCCCCGGCCTCAGCCACGCCAACCAATGTTGTTGTCTCACTGACTGAAGACCACGCAGACATGCTACATTGATGGGAAGTAGGCCAGGCAGTGGGGTCTGGGATGCACAGCCGCTGTGAATGAAGACTGGCTGAGGTCTGGATGCTTTGCTGAGTGTGTTCCTAATAGTGCCATCTTTGTTCTAACTGCTTTCATGATAAAGATTAGAATCCCCAAAGGCAGCAGCTTGTCTCCCAGGCAACAGTCCAGGTGTAGTGGGCTACTGTTTGTTGGTATGTGTCTAGTGAGAGGAACAGTAAAAGGCTCTTTATCTGTGAATGACAATTAGCTAGTTGGACAGTTGAGCAGACTGGTAAATGCGTAGATGGTAGGTGGGTGGACGCATGCATGCATGGGTGATCAAATGCTACACACACAGGTGGGTATTTCTAACGAAAAGCTCTTCCTAAATGCCCCATTCCCCAGGCCTCCAGGGTTTTCAGTGTCAGTCGGCTGTCTTCTGTCCCCTTACTCTGACTACTGAGAGAGTTTCACAATTGCCCTCATGAGGTCTCCGTGACTCCATGAAGGAAAATAGAAACATAGCAACATTCACCCATATTCTTTCCTTTACTGAAGAGGAAATTTAATAGTAATAAAATATAGAGAGGACCCCAGGAACATGTATGTAACTTTGTCTTCATTGGGAAAGGTGTCCAATTGAGTACTTGGGTATGAAGTACTATCATACTGTCAAACATTGCAGAAGTAGGTCTGCCTTGGCACACCTCATGAGAAAAAACATTCAAAAAGCATTGCAAGGGCAGGGACATAGCTCAGGGTGTAGAGTGTTTTCATACCATACACAGGGCCCTGGATTTAATCTCTGGTACCTTGTAAACTAGGCAGGATGGTAAACACCTGTAACTCCAGCCCAGGAGGTAGAGACAGGAAGATCAAAAATTCAAGGTTATCCTTGGCTATATATAATGGATTTTGAGACCAACCTAGAATACTGAAAACTGTTCCAATTTATTTTTTCATCATTACAAGACAGCTCAGAAGGCAGAGCCGTGTGCAGGAGTGAGGACGTGCTCAGGAGGAGAGCTATGAACAGGAGTGGGGATGTGTACAGCAGGAGAGCTGTGTGCGGAAGTGAGGATGTGTGCAGGGGTGAGGATGTATACATGAGGAGAGTCGTGTGCAGGAGTGGGGATGTGTACAGGAGGAGAATCATGTGCAGGGGTGAGGGCGTGTGCACGAGTGTGCAGGGGTGAGGATGTGTACAGGAAGAAAGCCATTTGCAGGAGTGAGGATGTGTACAGGAGGAGAGCCATGTGCAGGGGTGAGGGTGTGTGCAGGGGTGAGGGTGTGTGCAGATGTAAGGGTGTGTTCAGGAGGAGAGCCATGTGCAGGCGTAAGGGTTTGGGCAGGACTGAGAAGGTGTACAGGAGAGCTATGGGTAGGGGTGAGGGATGGAGGAAAGCAGGTGGTGAGGAGCTAGCTTAGACTAGTTTTGATGTCTTAAGAATCCAGACAAAAAGACAGTTGGTGAGCCAAGACCACTGACTCTGTCACTGCCGAGCTCTCTCTCCTGTCTGAGGATGGGCCCTGCCTTCTCTTCATGAGTCTTGGCTTATGAGGCTGCATGCCCTGCTCCTCTCATGGGTGTAGACTGTTAGACCTCCGAAGCCAACTCCTGACTTCCTAACCCACGCCACTCCCACGCCTGCAGTTATAAGTCCACTCACAGCTTCTGTGAACTAAACAATGAATGCATGGTTGACTGGGGGGCCTCTGAAGCAAGTGACTAATAAACCCCCAAATGAACACCTTCTCGTCCACAGATGTGCTGGTACGTAACTCAAAGCTTTCAGGAACAAGTTTCGAAGGAAACTACTGGTAAACATTGTGCTGAAAACTTCCATAGTAATACCCTTCTCTTCAGACCATGTAAACCTTTCAAATTTTGTATAGTGTCAATTAATAATTAAAACGTTGTAGAATAAAACATGTCTTTAAAAATTTTATATAAATAATCATAAGTGCCTTCAGGTTCATAGAGCACTTTCTTTTTTAAGACCCCTTTATTCTTTTTTATTTTAAATTTTTTATTGACAAAAAGAAAAAAAAAGTTTCCACCTCCTCCCAGCCTCCCATTTCCCTCCCCCTCCTCCCACCCTTCTCCCCCTCCCCCCACTCCTCTCCCCCTCCCTCTCCAGTCCAAAGAGCAGTCAGGGTTCCCTGCCCTGTGGAAAGTCCAAGGTCCTCCCCCCTCCGTCCATGTCTAGGAAGGTGAACATCCAAACTGGCTAGGCTCCCACAAAGCCAGAACATGTAGTAGGATCAAAACCCTGTGCCATTGTCCTTGGCTTCTCAGCAGCCCTCATTGTTCACCATGTTCAGAGAGTCTGGTTTTATCCCATGCTTTTTCAGTCACAGTCCAGCTGGCCTTGGTGAGCTCCCAATAGATCAGCCCCACTGTCTCAGTGGGTGGGTGCACCCCTCGTGGTCCTGACTTCCTTGCTCATCTTCTCCCTCCTTCTGCTCCTCATTGGGATCTTGGGAGCTCAGTCCGGTGCTCCAGTGTGGGTCTCTGTCTCTATCTCCATCCATCACCAGATGAAGGTTCTATGGTGATATGCAAGATATTCGTCAGTATTGCTATAGGATAGGGTCATTTCAGGTTCCCTATCCTCAGTTGCCCAAGGAACTAACTGGGGACATCGGCTTGGGTTCCTGGGAGCCACTCTAGGTTCAAGTCTCTTGCCAACCCTAAGGTGGCTCCCTTAACTAAGAATTGTGCTTCCGTGCTCCCCTATCCAACCTTCCTTTATCCCAATCCTCCTTTTTCCCCAAGTTCCCCCCATCCTCCCCTTCTCACTTTTCTCTCCCCATCTCCCCTTACCCCCATCCCACCCCACCCCCAAGATCCCAAGACCCCCTTATTCTTTTAGGGGACATGTTTGCAATGTTTAAGAGGGGCTTATTGTAACAGGGGTGAAGCTATCACTTTTCTCTCCTAGACGGGGTGTCTAGCTTAGTGTCTAGACCTTCCACCCATACACTTTGCACATCAGGCTCAATCCCAGGACTGTTCTGGGGTGAGCTGCTGTCTGCAGAACAATCATCATCAAAAGGTAACCTGACTTTGAAAGTGCAGTAAAGGTCAATTAAGATGCAGCTGCTCCTTCAACGCCAGTCGTTTCAGGAAGCAAAGGAGCACTAATAATACTGTGTGGACGAAGAAACCAATTAGAGAGTAGGTAGGAAAAAAGCAGGGTGGGGCCGGCGGTAGAGAAGAGACCGAAGGAGAACTAGAAGGCAAGGTCTAGGAAGATGAGGCAGCCCTGTCTAGAGGTGGAAAGAAAAGGAAATGAGGTACAGAGATACAATGGGATACTCTAAAAACCATCCCAGCTCTTGGGTTCCCCAGGTCTGATGGCAGATGCTGTTCACGCTTCTGGACAGCTTTCCGCAGGTCTGAGAATTCTGGTCCCATCCCTGGGCACTCCTTCCCACGATGGGCTGAGTACTAGTCACATCTCAGCTCTGACCAGACTGGATGTCATTTGCTCTCGCTAAAACTGTCTTCCTGGTTATCCAGAGGTATCCAGCAGGCCAAGGTTCTCATACACTCCAGTGGCAAGTGCTCTGCAGCCCAAGGATGTGTGCTTCCAGGAGTGGCTAGACCATCATTTTAAAATGGCATCATTCAACCACTCTTGTTGAATGCCGAGAAGAGTGTTTCCCTAGTGCCTCCCTTTCCTCTGCCGGTCCACAACTTTTAACTCCCTTCTCCTTGGATTTTGTTCTTTCGAGTGTCTTTTATTAGGCCATGGCTCCAGTCTAGCAAGGAGTAGGAATGAGCTCCCCAAAGCTTACCACGCCTCCAGGATGGAGTCTTCACTTTATTCCCCTCCTGCTCAGCTAAGTCCCCTACTGCACTTTGTTATTGCGACTAGAGATTTTCAGCCATCACCTACCTCCTCGGAGGTTACTTAGTTACCTAACTTTTCCTGATTTGTTCCCAAGGATGCTGGCAGGCCATGTCTGCATGTCTTCTGTGTACTGTTCCTCTATTTGTACCACACCGCCTGACCCCAAAAGAGCATCCAAAAGAGGGGAAAGGCACCTCTTCCTCCTCTTCCCAGATAAGGGTACCAGAGAAGCAGACTCAGGAGGGTGTGGGGCTAATGTGGGTGAGAGACAAGAGATGGGTGCAGCTGTGCTGGGCTCCATGACTTCTGAAAGGGAAGAACATGGGTCTGTCTAGGCAGGTTTGACAAAGATGGTCACAGTGTTCCAACTCCATGAGGGGGGCAACAGTACAGACTTCCTGAACAATGACCAAAAATTTAGAAAAAATGAAATGTGGGGGCTGGAGAGATGGCTCAGTGGTTAAGAGCATTGCCTGCTCTTCCAAAGGTCCTGAGTTCAATTCCCGGCAACCACATGGTGGCTCACAACCATCTGTAATAAAGTCTGGTGCCCTCTTCTGGCCTGTAGACATACACACAGACAGAATACTGTGTACATAATAAATAAATAAATATTAAAAAAAAAGAAAAAATGAAATGTCTAGTGAATCCCAGGTGTGTCCAGCAGCCCTCATCCATATTACATTGTGTAATCACCCAGCCTTGGTTCTGTACCCACAATATGCATAGTTTACACTGGGCGTGGTATCTCAGCATGCCATGCCGATGGACACAGCACAGTACCTCACTGCCGTATCAGACTGTTGAAATTATGTGTTATTGTGATACATACAACATTTTCTGCTTTTATAATACTGTATGGAAAGCAATGATTTTTATCATGTTCCTAAAGTCATCCCTTCTATGGAAGGAAAGATCAACCCAATGTATCTTTGGGATGTTCCTATGTTAGGCAAGCAAGCATTTCAATTGGAAGCAAATCTGTCTTAATCATTAATTAGTGATAAAACAAAAATTTATGTGTATGCCAAAAATTAAGATAAATTCTTTATGATTTATCATCAGTAAATGATTAGTTTGTATAGCTATTTTATATGCCTATATACCTGGTTTGCTTATATCTTTCTCGGAAATAAGATGGGTCATACGTGGCAGAAATTTTAAGAAAGAAACATTCAGCCTGGAAGGTAGTTCTGTGACTTAGCAAGATCCAGAATACAATTCCCAGGGAGAAAAAAAGGGTAAGCCAAAAGGATGAGATGCCCCAGGATAAAAATATGAGTGAGACGTGATCCTGCCTGCCCCAGTGTTCCAGAACAGGAACAGAGAAAAGGCCAGGGAGGAGGCTAGCAGTACGTTAATACCATATTTAATGAATTAGAGTTCTAGTAACAGGAAATGTACATTTCATAAGCTATAAAATTCATTGATCAATTATATTCTGCTCAACCCTCTGGCATCAGCTGACAAATGTTCATTGGATCTTGATTATGGCAACCACCAGGTACACAAAGATAAATAGTGCGGTAATAAATATCAGCTGGTTGGTGATATCACGTTCTACTATTTTCCCTTCCTTATCAAAGATTAGATTATGGATGTTGACATCTGTCTGCTGCATTACATAGTTCCTGTGTGTCCTAACCTGTCTTTTGCCAACAAGTCTCTAGATTGAAGAAAGTTCCATTTTAAATTCTTTATTCAATTTTAATTCATCTTTTGCTTTAATATGCTGAATTGATGTTCTATTGCTTTCTTGTCTACCAAACATAAGTTTTCTTCATCCACTGGTTAATGAAGAGCGTTTGTGATAATTTACATTTAATAGATAGCACTATATAGACTATAGCACCGCGCGGAATGTGCACATTGTAACGGAACTATTGAAATAGCATTTCCTGTCTTTGGAGCCACTGATACTGTGAGCCATGCTGTCTCTTCCGTTAGCTACTCCAAATTCTGAGAGCACTCCCCAGCCTTGGCTGTGATAACCAACATTGTCAGCAGACATTCGAATCCTGTGTCGCCGAGGGCACAGATATTAGAATCAGAGTGGCTACTGTGCTCCAGGTTAGTCCTCACAGTATCTGAATAGCCAGTTCTGACACCCGGGAGAGCCCTGAGCCACACTTAGCTGCCTGCCCTTAGCACTGCTCTCTGTGCACGGCAGTTGCTGTCTGAGTCCCATTGCTTCCGATGAAAAGTAGTCTTTAGGTTTTCCCAGTCATTTGTTCATTTTCCAGTTTATTTTGGAGATTTTAGTTCTGGAAACACCAGAATGGAATACGAAAGAGAAACTGGTGTGTAATGATCTTTGGGGGTAAAGGGTATGTGTTCCATGAATACCCATGCTCTACCATCTATGTTCTGAACACCCTCACATAAGTGAAGTGAAGTCTCAGAGGTCCTAATACAATCAGAAAGAAGAAATTGTTTAAAAGGTTAAAAGATGAAAACCAGACATGACAGCAAACCCCAGGAACACAGCACACAGGAGGTGGAAACCCAAGCTCTGGAAATTCCAAGTCATCCTTGATGAGTTTGAGACCAGCCTGGGTGGGATTCATGAGACCCTGTTTCAAAAATAATAATAGTGATAGTAGCAGTAGTAGAAGTAATATAATGTGTTATACTCTAAATCACGGCAAAGGGCAATGGGGATTTCACAATGTTCTCTGCCAATGGTTTTAGTACCATTTCAGTCTCCGCAATCTAAGATCTCAACCAATCCTTGATGTTGATTTCTTCTGGCCCACCCAATAGGATTTTCTGGAGAAGACAGGTGCACTTGGCAGCAGGAATTCGGCCCAACACCATCACCAGCTCCTTCCCCCAGCTCATGTCCAACGTGGATGCAGCTTATGAAGTGCCTGAGCGAGGCCTTGCTTTCTTCTTCAAAGGTATCTGCAGAGAAATGCCAAGGCCTTGGTGCCATGCCTGTGTGACTCAGTGCTCTTGGGCAGGTTTCAGCTGCTCCTTCTCAGGCCGGGCACTAAATGTCCCTCACACTGTTGTAGCCATGGCAGGAATGACAGTGACTATCAGCAGACCCCAGTGTGGGAGGTCCTTCTATCTATGTGTTGCTTTTATTGGTTAATCAATAAAGAAACTGCATGGGAGGAGGAAGGTGGAGTTAGAGAGAAGCCATGGAGCAGCTGGAGACAGACTGCTGAAACTTTGCTGGTAGGCCACGACCTTGTGGTGATGCACAGATTAATAGCAATGGGTTAAATTAATATGTAAGAGTTAGCCAATAAGATATTAAAGCTGATGGGCTAAGCAGTGATTTAATTAACATGGTTTCTGTGTGATTGTTTTGGGTTACACCAATCTGTCGCAGCAGGCCGCTTGTTTGTCCCAGTTACCTAGAACCGAAATGACCACTCAGAAAACCATATTATTTGCAATACTGTTTGGCCAATAGCTTAAGTGTATTTTTAGCTAAACTCATATCCTAAACTAACCCATCTGTATTAATCTGTACATCCCCACAAGGTCATGGCCTACCAGCAAAGTTTTAGTGCTTCTGTCTCCGGTGGCAGTGGCTCCATTCATGACACACCTCTCTCTCTCTTCTCTCTCTCTCTCTCTCTCTCTCTCTCTCTCTCTCTCTCTCTCTCTCTCTCTGCCTTCCTTCTCCCAGCATTCAGTTGTTTTCCCCACCTACCAAGTTCTGCCCTATCAACAGGCCAAGGCAGTTTCTTTATTCGTTAAACAAAAAACCCCACATAGACAGAAGGACCTCCCACACCACCTCAGCACCAGTCCTTGGGCTTAGTCAGCACCATGCTACATGATCAGAACTAGGGGCTTACAACCAGGCCCTGGCCTCCTGGTTTAGAATAACATGGCACACTCTAGTGAGATCCTTTAACATTCCTTGAAATCCTTGCTACAAAGTCATGCATAGAGCAGCTGGTGGGACACCAACTCCTGTGACTTAGGGAGACAAACCCACAGGCATCCAATCTCTGGCTTCAACCCTTCGTTATTTGAATAACGTTGAGACATTGTCCAGCTTTCACGAGATTTTATTTCTCATCTGCAAAGTGATTCGAAAAAGACCAATCTTGAACATATGTCTCAGCAGTAGATGGTCAAGCAAAGTCACCTGGAACACACTGACTGTGGCTTTGTTGACACAGAAGACTGTTGTCAACTTAAGTGAAAAACTTCATTGGATGTCACTTCTCTCCTGTTCTTCGTGGGTACATGAAGGTGAGGGAAGTGTATTTTTAAAAAATGTACTGAAAACACAAAGGTGCTAAGTGTAAGAAGACACAGATTTCTCAAGATATAAATGTAGCCATGCCTTGGGGAAGTCTGAAGTCTAGAGTAAGGAGATATCTATATCCACATGTACCCCACCCACTTATGATCCAGAACACAGTGTCTTCACCGGTGAAACGGCTTGATGAGTGCAGCAGAATCTCTGCAGACTCCACCCTTTGCTTCCAGGTCCGCACTATTGGATCACACGAGGATTCCAGATGCAAGGTCCTCCCCGGACAATTTATGACTTCGGGCTGCCAAGGCGTGTGCAGCGAATAGATGCTGCGGTTTACCTCAGGAAGCCCCAGAAGACCCTCTTCTTTGTGGGAGATGAATACTACAGGTATGGTTTTACCCCTTCATTTCTTCAGATGTAACTGATGGGAAGGGAAAAAAAATATCTTTTGCAAAACCTCCGACAGGCAACTTGACAGCATGCTGTTTGACTTCTCGGCCAAGGGCAGTCTTTAAGATACAGAGCAATAGGCAACCATCTGATTGTCTTTAGGACCAGCGTTGTAATATTTTAGTGAATTCATTAACTTGGCCCCAGTGAGCTGAAAGAGTGGAACTGGTGTCTCCAGGTTCATCACTACCATGTAGAAATGCCTCATTCCACCATTACATAAGATCATAGAAACCTTTATGATTTGAAGCAGAAATGGAGGTGGTCACAACAGAGGTGGTCACAGTGTGGTGCTCTTTGGAAAGAGCTTTTCTTAAAGGAAAGGCTTCAGAGAAGTCTTCTATCCAAATTAGAACATAAAGACTTCTCGCATGAAGGAAGCCGTGTATAATCTTCATGGCTGTCCTTCAAAGGTCACAGTGAGCAGATCTGCCTGAGGTCAGACCCAGCATCCAGTCAATGCACATGGGACCACACCACATCTACTGGCCAAGGTTCTGGGAACTGATTAAGGCTCTCTGCCAAGCACCCACAGAGACCACCTCAGCACCCCCACTACCATCCCTGCTTCCGTTCCCACCTTGCTGTTGCTCATTTCCATGAACATCAAACAAGAAGTGAAAACAGGTTCTAAGCAGGTAACTGTGACAAACACCATGTGTCCATGGTGGGGCTCTAAAGGAAATCAGGAAAGGGGAGCACCCAGCTTGGTAGAGAGAACTTTTGTCTCATTCTATGTTCTTTATCTACCATCTACCCATATCCATCCATCCATCCATCCATCCATCCATCCATCCATCTATCATCTATCCATATCCATCCATCTATCATCTATCCATCATCTATCCATATCCATCCGTCCATCCATCCCTCCGTCCATCCGTCCAACTATCATCTATCCCTATCTATCTATCTATCTATCTATCTATCTATCTATCATTTTAGTTTGCTTTCTTTCTTGAGACAGGGTTTCTGTGTGCAGCCCTGGCTGTCCTAGAACTCACTCTATAAACCAAGCTGGCCTCCAATTCAGTGATCCTCTGGCCCCTGACTCCCAAGTGCTGGGATTAAAGGTGTATGCCTCTGTGTCTGGCATGATTTTATGTTATCTCACTTAAACAACCATTTTCAAAAGAAATTGACAGAAAGTAACCTCTTTCTTATCTTTTCCCACCTGACTGACACTTTCCTTCTTAATCTGGATAAAAGAAAGTAGTGTAACTAGTGAACACATATTTCAGGAGGATTTTATTATTATTATTTTATGAAACCCAAACAGCAGAGGACCCTACTGACTCCTCTCGTCGACAGGGAGCCCTGGAAGTGTTGCTCAAATCACTGTATACTTCCTGAGAGAACTGTGGCTGCAGGTCCAGCTTACACCGCTATGCCAGCTCCTGTTTTCTCAGAACCTCCCATCTGAAACATACTCCTGAAATCCATCAAAGGACACATCAGTGTCTTCACGTTAGAGTGTGTTCCACAAGCTTTCTCTACCACCAGCTCTGTGCTGACAAGGCCAGCGAGTAGATGGATAGATGCCTGTATGAGCGGGGATGGGGAGTACATGTGGAGACTGTTCAGTCTGTTCCTCATTGCTCAGGGCCTGATCTCACTGAAGGGCTCACCTGCACTAACGCAGTCTGTCTTCATGTTTGTGGCCCACCACAATACTCGGTGAAGGACGCTGAATGGAGGGTGTTGAGGGCAGAAGTCTCAGACTCTCTGAGGTAGGGATTGGCGGGGGGGGAGGGGGGAGGCATCTCTGGTTTCATGATCTCCAATGCCATCAGCGGAAACAGCAGCGCACCTTCGAGCTGGATTTCCATGACTATGAAGGAAGTGCCTTTATGTATTATTATCTATTTATGTTTCTCAGGAGGTGCACATGCTATGGCACTGTGTACAGATCAGAGAATAGCTCTCCAGTTCACATCTCCCCTTCCACCATGGGAGTCTCAGGGATTTAACACTAGTGTCAGGCATAGCAGCAGGTGCTTCTATCTGCTGAGCTGTCTAGCAAGCCAAGAGTGTTCAGTAATCTAGATTAGGAGAACCCCTTACCAAGTTGATCTGGGACACTAACTTAAATGTTAATGAGCTCATTTTGCCTCTTAGGGAAGGAAGGCACCTTCCACGGAGTTAGGTGGCATGACGTTGCCATGTGTTCAGACACTGGGACAGGATCTGGACAGCAGAGAGTGAAAATCTTAGCGATAGTAAACCCCCATTATAACTTATAGGCAGTCACTTTTACATCTGTGGTCATTAACAAATGATTAATTTAACCTTGGTATCCCTCGGAGCAGCAAGGAAGTCAACGAGGAAATCAAAGGAAGTTCCTGTTAAACTGTGGCGGCCCTGGCGTTAGACTGTAATTACTGCCGTTGCCGAAGCACAGACTCATGTATGCACGGCAGGAATCCACATATTTATGTTCTGCTGTGTGCACTAAGTCCAGAATGAAAAAAACTACTGGCAGCCCTGTTGGTAAAGCCTTGCAAAGCCTCATGCCCACAGCACAGTTGTCACGCCAGCCCTTCCGTTGCTTAGAAAGTGATGTCAGCTGCAGGTGACAGGGATGCCCCCACCCCCAAATCACTGGGATTCTGATACCTAATGCTTTTTTAATATACATCAAACAGCTTGAGCAGAACCCCAGCTGGAACTCTGTGGTCACCAGGACCCAAGTATCTTCAGATATTCTGTCCCCATATGTTTTATCTTGTTACATTTTTATTTATTTTCTACAGGGGGTAGGGCACATGCCACAGTGCACATGTGGAGGTCAGTTCTTTCCTTCCGCCATGGGGTCCTGGGGACTGGGCTCAGGTTACCAGGCTCAGCAGGAAGTGACTTTACACACTGAGCTAACCAAATTCTAAACACGTGGCTTCCATTCCTGTGGTTGCCTCAGGATTTGAGATGGCTTGTAGGTAGGAGCATATTCAATACTTCTTGTAAAAAGAAAAATTTGAAAAAGAAGGCAAAAAAACAAATGAAGTTTCAGGCCAAGCATGGGGCCACACTAAAATACCCAGAAGGCCACGTGTTTTAAGGCATGGAGCAAGATCTCTCGAATCCCCACAGACCATGGGTAAGAGCTTACTTGCCAGGCTCCGTCTTAGTCACCATGTTAAAGCAGGCTGTGATACAAACAAAATTAAAATTAAATTAAGCCTCTTAGTGGGGAAAAGACTCCATGAGCTCTCAGGATTTGGGTTTGATTTAGTGAACGAAGTGCACAAGAAAATGGTTGAAGAATTTCCACCATAGGGGACTGAGGGTTAGCTGGGGCTGCTCAGTTCAGGCCTTGGCTTATCACACAGCAGTGACTTACAGGAAGTGGCACACACAGAATTCAGGGGAAATCTCAAAGAGCACTTGACTAAGTTGGCATCCTGACATCACCAGATCACATCTCAAGAATGTGTGTGCCAACAATAGAACATATTAAATTAATAACTTAGTAAGCTTGGCTACGCAGGGCTGTTTCTCACACGCCGTGCTACCTTTACTCCTTCCCTTCCGCTTTCTAACAGCCCCTGCGGGCCAGACAGATGTTTCTCTTTCTTCCGTTGTCGACGGCTGACTTCTCCCTTCAGTCTTCTCCTTTATTCACCAATGGCAACAGGATGGTGGTGTCTAGGGTCCTCATGGGGTGCAAGTGCCCTTGTCTCCATAATTCTTTGTTATAATCAGTGATTTCTCAGTTTATGTGGGGTGATTTGCACATGCACAGATCCCGCCCTCTTTCCCTTCACACTGGCAGTGCAGACACAGGCTGGCAATACGGTAAACTGGTTCCTCGCTGCCATAAAGGACACGTTTCCCACATCTCCTTTCTGGATGCCCCTCTAATCCCAGAAATGCTTTCATTTAAAGGTTTCCTGTTTAGTTACCATAGAGAAATAAATAGTAAGTGGGAAAAGTGAGAGCAGTTAAGTAAAATTAGTTACTTATGAATGTCTTAAAACAACTCATCACGACCACACTTCATTAAGCCTAGCTGTGAGGTATGAGTACGTCCTAGACTCGCTACTGGAATCTTGATACTCCAAGGAAGGCACAGTTTCCAGCTACGCGGGTTAAACTCAGGACAGAACTCAGCAGTGACGCACAGCACTACCGAGCCAACTTTGAGCCTTGAGTTCCAGCAGTGCCCTGCGCTCTCCTAGCAAGTGTGAGGCCCTAATCAATTTGCAACACTGTCCCAGCAACGCTGAGGTCCTGAGTTTAACCCGCAGGGTAGCAAACCCGAGGTATTTATAAACAAGGGAGCTAACCAGCGATGATCAGGCTAGCTCTCCATCTCTTTGTTTACAGAACAGAGCCAGAAACTGTACTCACTTCGGAGTTACTGAGAAAGATTAAAAAAAAAAAAGTGTGATGCCTGTCACTTGATACGTGCTCATAAATCATCCTACAGATCTATCTATAGATAAATAATTAACAGAAGTTCAAGTGCAAAAGCACTCTCATGGGAGGCAGCGTGGCTTTCAGAGAGCCAGATCAAAGAGGAAGCAGGTGGTCTAGCAAAGGTATCAGGAAAGAGTCCCTGGAGGAAGTGATAGCTGCACCCTCTGTGAGAGCTGCGTGGGAGTTTCCCAGGCAGGAGTGGGGGGAGCCGGTGGCTTCCAGGCAGAGAGCAGCTGATGTAAGGCACTGAGACAAGAACAGGCTGCGAGGGGGGGAACCACAGGTGACTCATTCCACGCGGTAGGAGGGACACCGTCCAAGACAAGCGGGGAGAACAGTTGGGGAGGAGCCTTGACTTTTCACAATGATCCTTGTCAACTCTATAGAAGGGTGCGGCATAGTCAAATACCTTAAATAAGAGGTTATCTGGATGCGTTTTGTGACATAGAAATATCACTCTATCAGCACTGTGAATGCCTGGAAGTCAAAGGAGCGAGACCACAAACCACAGAAAGCCT